ACGGGCAGGTAATAAAAATACTAAGTAATATAAAACCTGCATTAAATATCAGAAGAATCCTGAAGCTGACAGGGAAACTGGTTCTTCCTTTAGGATTGGTTCTTCCTTTAGGAAAACACACATTAAGACAGAATGGCCTATTTTGTTTTTACAGTTTAAAAATGATCAGGAAGAAGAATTAAGGATGGGACTTTAGAGATAACAAATGATGTTTTTGTTGTTTGATCACACAGAAGGAAGAAGGCGGTAGGGTTTGGAAGCAGATCACCGTAAAAATCTTAGATTTCATTATAAAATTTAAGGGAAGGTCATTTAAGGATATGACAGTCCTTAGCCCATTCAGCTAACTTTTCATTTCTTAAGATTTGTTAACATTTTTATTTCTTCCCTGTAACAGGATGACTCTACTTAACAACCTGGTAGTTTTGGATAGCAACCTGTAGCATTTTTTTAGCTGGGCAGCAATTACTTTAATTACTCCACACAAAAGTGAAATATTGTTAAAGAAAAGGAAAGAAAAAACAAATTTAATTGGATGGAGATCACTACAGCCAAACTTATTTTTCATTAAAATGTTTTAGGTTTTTAGAAGTTAATTATTAAAGTATTTAAAATTGGACACAGAAATACAAGAAAACAGAATGTCTTGAAAATAAGTCTAATGCCATCAGTGTTGTCCATTTAATTGTATGATGAACAAAGGCCACACCCGTGACATCATCAAGCAAGGTGGTTGGATGAGCTAAGGATCTCCATGAAGCACACACCATTTTGGGATCAACAAATCCACAGAAGAGCACCAAAAGACTTGTTTTCCATTTGTCGTCATTTTTTAAAAACTGGCCATTATACATAAGAGGAAAAATCTGCTCAAGTAAACAAATCCTTTCCTGTATCCTCCACAAAATTCTCTTTGCACAAATAATTTAACAGAGGAGCTTTTCAAAAGTTGTAGGCTGAAACTCTGAATAAATAAAAGACTAACAACAGTGTTACCAAAATATTCAAATATCTCTGCATAAATTCCAGTATTTCATATTCTAGAAAGACTGCTAATAATGAGCATTTTAAAAATAAACAGCCTTCATATATTGGAAGACATTTTAAACTTACGCTTACTCACCAGTCATTCTATTAGCCTCTTGCAGTTACTAGCTTTTACTACTGTTGTTTATTACTTATTCAGAAAAACTCTAACTTGCCCCAAGGGAAAGCAGCTCTTTTTATACAGCTAAATGAAAAACTAAACTAAAAAGCTGTCCTTTGGAATTCAACACTTCAAATGCATCACGAGCAGCACTTTCGATGCCCTATTGCCATCCTTTGGGCTAAAGCACCCCAGTGTACAACAATCTCTCGCTCGTGCGCTCTCTCTGTCTGCAGGTGTGGCCAGAGCCCTGATGAGGCACTAGAGAAGGGAAGTGGCAGTTTAAGAGCAACGTAAGAAACTGGTGCAGCAGCACCACCTGGTGGGTACTGAAGAGATGCAGCCCTTGCTGCTGCTTCAGGGATGAACCACTTGTCCACTCGGTTTTCAATCCCCAGCTGACCAAAAGTTCCAAGATCAGAATTTTCAACCAACAAGACGAGTACTGCATGCATGTTTCATAGGCTCTCTGGAGTACTGCTGGGCTCTACAATTTAATAGTATGTCCCCTGAGATGCAGATAAGTTAAGTAATGCCTTGCTTTAGAGCAGTATGCAGAGACGTGTGTGAATTCTCTACTGTTACATTTAAAGGAGAAACCGTTGAAAGGCACAGGCCATTTGTTATTGTCTGCTCACACTTCTCCAGCCACAGTCATTTTAAGCCTGAAGCACAAATAATGAATAATGATTTACTGCCTTTTATTCATTTCATAAATATTTACTCAGTGACTACTATGTGCACATACACATATATCACAGAATTTTAATCTTAGGTGAAACTCTATTAGTATTCAATTTGGTTGTTCAATTTCTACAAGAACAGGTAATGTTAAATTGCTAAATCAGACTATATGATTAATAAGTACATAGTAGCTAATATTCACGTTACCAGGCTTTATTGCTTTGCTGATGAAAAAGAAATTTCGATTTGAAAAAAGAAAAAAATTCCAGGATTGTTTTTCAAAACATTTAATAATTTCTGTTGTCAGTCTTGAATTCAGTTCTTCCAATCAAGATATTCTGTAAAAATGGCAAATATTGAAAATGTTCTCTTTCTGTCTATATCTTCGCTGTAGACCCATGGGTTCTTAAATGAGGGTGATTTTGCCTCCCAGGGGATGGCTGGCAATGCCTGTTTGGTGAAGGATGCTGGAATCCTATGATGCACATGACAGTCCTCCACAACAAAGAATTATCTGCTGTAAAATGTCAATAGTGCCAAGGCTGAGAGAACAAAAACTGTGTCTTATTCAAAAATGTACACTACATGGCAAGATAAGTGATAATTGTTTGGTGAAATAAATTGATTATGATATCTAAACAATTCTTATTATTTTCCAGTTGTATGAACAGGAAGGCAGAGTGGACAGTCGAGTTCAGAAAAAGAATGCCCACAGCTCCAGAAAAAATACTGAAACTGACACTAGCAGACACATATATATTTATGAAATAGGCAGAATAAAATAGCTTACCTGGACTTACTTTGGCCTGGATGAAATACCACACAAAACTACTCTGCTTTCCTGCCGGCCATAAACTTGTTAGATTACCATTTAAACTTCAGAAGAATGCCTATGTCAGGAAAGTGTACCCTTAACAACATACAGGTAGAGCATCCTATTCCCTGGAAAGGTGTGCTTCATTCCCCACATAAGTAAACTGTATTATTCAAAGCCAGCCTCTCTGAGTCTGATCACCACGGAACATCAGTGAAGACTGGGGCACAGACGACGGACTGCAGTGGACTCACAAGGATGATGATTCCTTCCTGAGGACTCTTGGTGAAAAAGAATCCAGACTTCTGGTCATTGCCCCTGTCATACAAACTGAGTAATTCTTCCCCCCAACTGAAGTTGCTTCTCGTATTATTATTCTACTAAAGATAACGACTATAAGCATTTTGATGAGGATCATTCTAAGAAACTTTCCATAAATATAAAATTATATGAAAAATAATCTGGTCTATAGGCTGCTATTTTCATCCAAAAATATTTCACAGATCTCAGTTTGTATCTGTAACCACAGCTCTATGTTATCATTTGAATAGACTTTAGGTGATCCGACATTCAGTTAAGACATGCTCTTCTAAAGGTACCGATCACTTAAGGATGGAAACGTTTCATGAGAAACCTGTGATATGCGCGATCAAGATGAAGCACAGCATTGTGAGGAAAGCGACAAGCTTCACCATTCTAGACATAACAGCCTGACTATAGATGAAATAATCCTGCTGCCCTTCCCTGCTGTTCTCTCAGAAACCCTTTGGGACTGATGCAGGTAACGTTAAATCTTTAAGGAAGCATTTATGGACTAGAGAAGCCAAGACATAGGCCCGTGGAGGCAGTCTCAAGAGCAGTGACTACTCCCTCTGAGGGTACTGCACTGGTAACAATACAGACACAAAGGTGATTTTAAAAGGTGGTGATAGGATTTTGACAAATATATATTACTTTTATAATCAGGAAAAAAAAAATTGAAATGTTAACATTTGTTAATATTTGTCACACTAAACATTAAATTATTTAACATGTGGTAGTTCAACTGTTTTTTGGATATCATGTCTTACAGTCCTAATTCTTACAAACCTTTTGTTTGTTTTTTGGTGTCTTTTTTTTTTTTTTTTTGGGGGGGTAATCTGGATATGAGATTTTAAGCTTTCCTATGGAAGTCCAGGAGCTGAAGAATTATACTGCCTTCTTACTTCTTCTGACAGTCACTGTGACCTCCAGAGAGCCATTTAAATGCCCCACTCATTTCCATTTTAGAATACAAAACTTCCAACTACACATGCTGAGCATCCTAAGCTCGACACTCACATCAGCCCACAGCAATCTTCAGTTCCGTGAAAGGCCCACATATTTCCTAGTGAAGTGAAATTCTTGATGGAGGTATGATGGCAAATAACAGTGTTCACTTTCACTTCTCAGAAAACAAAATACAGGAGACTAGACTGTGAGTTCCTGCAAGAGAGGCCCAGAGATGGCACACCCAGCTCCCCACTGGGGAAAAGAACAGTGGGAAAACAAGCAACAGTCAAGAAGAAAGAGTCATAGCGATGGTGCCTGAGATGCAGTACAGTGGAAAGACTTTCAGCGGAAACCAAGGACTCAGGCAATTCTAGAGTTTTAGGTCCACCTGTAAGACGTGCTCCAATACATTAAGGTCATGCAGTTGTACTCTGGGGAATGTTCTAATTAGGTATATGCAATAGAAGGGTCTAAACTAAAGATCTGTTGGCTCATAATTGAATAAAACTACAAAGTTACTTCAATGTTAAAGACAATAAAGGCCTATATTTTCAATGAAAAATACACTTAACAGAAACCAACGGGAAGATTTTTACACAGTTTCTGAACAAGTCAGAGAGTTTGGCCTATTAAGTGACTTGTACCTATTCAAGAGTGAGAAAATATTTTCGTAAAAATAAAAGCCTCTTTATTTCTCTGTGTGTCTCTTCTTGGAGAAGAGATAATGAAATTAGGTTAGATACATTTTGCTAGATTAAGACCAACCAAAGAGAGTCAAGTGAGAAAAGTGAGAAAAATCTAAACAATTTAGTTAGATGGCTCAGCTCCAATACTGACAAATCTTACCAGATAACCTATAGTTGAAAGTTCACATTAATTCAGGAAATGTATTACTATCTTTTTCCTCATTTCAGACAGAATTTGAGGAAGGTTATATGCAGACTTACATACAGCTCCTTACAACAAATTTCATTAATGTAATGGGTAGAAAAGTAAAAGGAAGCTAGGAGAAAATATATCTTGGGAATGTGTGCATTAATGGAAAAATTCAGAACTTGAAATTAACACTGATTTATGAGATAAAAAAGAAGCTTTGCCACTCACCAATTTTAACCTCTGTAAAGGTATTCTGCCTACATCTATTTGTGTCCTTTCTGGGACATTAGTGAATCGAACTTCTGGGACCGCAACGGCGCACATGACATGGGCCCACCTACAGGAAAGGAGACATTAAACATAAACAAAAGTTCCCTAAACTTACATACTTCAACTTGGTGATGCCAGTTCTCACAGATGGGAAATACACAGATGAGCAAGAAAGCCAAAAGCCTAAATCCATCACGAACAGATTCTGAACTGTAAACCTGCTGAATGATACCTGGACAGACTCAGTACCACAGCTGCCCAACAACATTGTGCCATGAAGAGCTGGTAAAGGCCCAGTACTCTATCCTATCAAAGTGCATATATTTTTCTACACTTGATCTGCAAAACACTGAAATGTAGGTTTCTTATTTCACGTGATGCTGGAATATGCATGTGCTTAATGTACTTAAGCTAATCAATATGTGCCAAGAAATTAGTTCAATTAATAAAAGGTATGAACTGAGTATAGCATATAACCTTTTTAAATAATACAAATGTCATGAAGCAAACTTGTTCAAGTAGCAAAAGTTCTCCAAAAGAATTAATGCTAATCTTTAATTATATTGTTTCTCGCTGCAATCTTACTATAATCAATGAGACCCAGAGACAAAGAGAAATGAAGTTTATCTTGTACCCTGGTTTCCTACTTTTTTCACTTTCTGCAAAATGACAACTTTCTCATTAATACTATTAAATGTCTCATAAATGTTATATCCCAAAATAAATGTAAAGAATCATGAGGCTTGAAGAGATCTTGAAAGAATTGTCAAATCCATCAACATATTTTTAAGCCAAAGCATATTTACTTCACTCAAACAGCACCGGACTCTATCCTGTCTTTCAAGACCACAGGAAGAGAAAACAAGTATCAACCCCACCAGGGCATTCTTCCACACTGAAATAAATACTATCATTCTATAGAAAACACTATTTCTTTTTGTTGTGGTCCAAGCACAGAAAGAAAACTTCTTATCACCTGTCTTTATACAGGAACCACCTAAACCATCTCACAGTATGGCATCCAGTGCAATATCCAAGAACTAGTGAAGACTTTTTAGTATAGTGCAAATCATATCAACCAGGACTATGGAAGAACATCATCTTTCAAAAATTAAGCAAACCCTACAGCTCCTTACAACAAATTTCATTAATGTAATAATGATAAATACCTTCACTCCTCCTTCCCAGCAATCAGAAACATGTGCACATGTAAAGAATTATGCTAACTCCACCATTACATTACACCAGGAGTCCTAACTCCAGTGCCCAGGGGGCCAGGCGGAATGTAAGCAAATACACATATACCAGGAAATCATGGTGAACTGAGGAGTACCTGCCCCACTGACACTGGGTTCTATCCCAACTTGTTATTACTGCCTGATAGGGATATAGAATCATTTGCAGTTAAAGATGAAAATTTGGATTTTTAATGTAAAAATCTCTCAATTTAAAAATTTTAGATGCAATTTATAAAATGGTGCATGGGTCCTACAAAACATATCTTGGACCTCAATCTGGCCCTCAAGTGCCAGCCTGCAAAATCTGCCCAGGTTATTTTGACATGTCTCTATTCCAGCATACCCTGTAATAATATGCTTTGGCCGCATTTTCAATATTAAAACCTGGTCATGAAAAAAAAATAAAATCTATGTAGAACAGTCATAAAAACTAGACTGCCTTCATTTTATGTTCACTTGTGACTCTCTTTCAAGACTCTCTTCATATTCTCCACCTAATCCCTTTAAATCTTAATATCAATGTTTTCTCCCAATCTTTTCTAATTTAGTACACTTATATTCTTGTTAATTTGCTAATGTAAAATGTAAATGGTTTTGTTTTATCATCATTGTTATGACTGAATTATCTAAAGATCACAGTTTCACGTTCTTGGGTATGCCCTGTTTTTGTTTGTTTGTTTGTTTGTTTGTTTTTTGAGATGGAGTCTCGCTCTGTCACCCAGGCTGGAGTGTAGTGGCGCGATCTCGGCTCACTGCAAGCTCCGCCTCCCAGGTTCACGCCATTCTCCCGCCTCAGCCTCCGGCCACCACGCCTGGCTGAAGGTATGCCCTGTTTTTAACAGACCAATAGCATTCATCATATTAAACACCAGGATTTTAATGGCACCTGGATGATATGGGCTACCTTCATTTTTAAAACTCTGTAAGTAAAAGAGGGGTTATTTTTCATGGCTTCAAATACAAAGAACAGAAGCGTAACTTGGACTACTCTTGCCCTGCCGAGATGACAGTGCTAACAGTAGAAGTCTCTGAAGCACAGAATTCCAACGTCAGATCTGAGCAGCAAAAGCTTTGAAACCACATGTATAATGAGAGGTAAAGCGAACTGTCATCCAAAGGTTCTAGAATGGAGAAAGAAAAACAATGAAATTCAACACAGTTAATGTATTACTTACTTATTGTTCTTCGTTTGCTTAAGAGCACCTCCTCTCAAATTGCAGAGACAGCATTCCTGGAGGGAAAAGAAAATACCACATGATGACCAGACCCACACAACAAAAGTCATTACCATTCATCTAAATATTCTCAGAAATCCTGATTTTTCATTCTAAAATTAAAACCATCAGGAATTACATGAAGGTCTATCTCTGAGAAGTTCAAAAACAAAGATAGAGGAGGGGGGAATGGTAAAGGTATGCCCCTCAAATTTCAGGGTGTAAAATTCTCCCAGAGGGAACCATCATGAACCTGGTATCATTTTAAATTGACATTGTCATCAAAGGAAAGCTGTGACACAGAGAACCCAGCAGTCCAGAGAACCTAGTCCGCATACCTAGGTATGTGCAAGAATTCTAGAGCAGAGAATGCACACACACGGTGTAGCCTTGTGCTCTGGGAATTCACTCCGGGATACAGGGCGGCTAATGAATGCAGTGTGGGCAGGCTTTTTTCTAATATACGAATAAGCAAGAGGCTATTTTTAAACGATACTCTTTTCACCAAAGTAACACTTGGGCCTCACTCTTTCTGTGGGCAAACAGTGTTAGAAAAAGTGTCCTGATCAACTCCAGCTATCCGGCCCAAGAAAACAGCATCAAGAAACGTTTTGCTTTATCCTTCCCACATAAGCTTATCCTCTCAGCATTCTTATGTGTCTTAGCTTAGAATGTAATTTTCCACTCCAAGATGACTCCAATTGCTACAAATACAGATCTTACTAGTTATTTCTCACTACACTCTCATGAAAAAGACCAGGATAAGGAGGACCAGAGAGCAGTGCACTGCCCTCTCATGACCTAAATTGTTTTTACATTAAATACCAAAGTAAAATTTTTAATTTCAAGCTTGTCCTCACAATTTTCTGCATTAATACATTTTTTTAATCGGAAGAAGTTATTTGGGGTTTTTTCCTCCAAACTTCATATACAAAACCTCTTTACCCTGTCCACTAAAGTGATGTTCCTTAACAAATTTTGACAATTTTGCCTAGCTTTACGAGGAATCCACCTAACTGATCTACCATTAATGAGGTGTGAAACTTCATAGCTTATACTTTTCTGAGGAAAACGATACAAAAACAACTGGAAAGAATCATGTATCTATGTAACTTTTGTTAGGCAGTAATAAATGCAAACAACCAGAAATGTCCAACAGGCTTGTGTGTCTGAAAAGTCTCTGTACATCTATATGAAAATTCCTGGATTCAGAGTAGTAAAAGATACATTGTGTGTATTGATTTGAATCCACTATAAACCCAGCTCGAGGAAATAACAACTCAATGAAGAATTTTCTCTATCCATACCACAAAGCCATATCCTAGAGGCCCTTGGAATAACTGGTTTTGATGAATCATACCAAGAAAGCAAAATTTCACAGTCCAAATACTGAAAATGAGAACTCTGGTAGTTCATTTCATAAGTTCTCAATTTCAGGTATTTTTCCAGTAATTTAACACACTTTCTACAAAGAAAGAGGGGGTGAGAAAGAAAATGAATGAATGAAAAAGGAAACAAAACTTGAGGTCAAGTGCTTTCAATGTATACATGAAGATGTTAGTTTCAAAGTGGGAATGCAGCAAAGAGTTGCGGACTGTGAAGCACTCAGGCTCTAAGAGAATTAGATGTCTAATTAATGAAACTAGTAGTGAGAAGAAGCCTAAAGGGACAAGTTAGGAAAAGTAAATACAGCGCAGCAGCATGGAAGCTGCTCAAAAGCACCTGATTAGGATCATTAACAGGTACACATGTTCTAGAGCACCAATCTAATAAGAGGAAAAAGTCCTCTAAAATACAACGTGTAGGCTCAAGATTTTAAATGGAGTTAAGATGCTCCACCATCACAAGAAGAAACTCATTCTTTCTAGCCTTCCCTCCAAGTCACAGAATCTAATAGACAATTCCAAGTCCTTGGTTCACCTGACCTCTTAGCACCATACAACACTGTTGATCCTTCCTGAAACATTTTCTCCCTGTGGTTTCCATGACCCTTACACTCCTCATTGTCCTCCTGTGCCTCTAGTTGACTCTCAGCTTCCTTTCACAGGCTTCTCTTTCACTACCCTCAAATGCTGGAATTTCTGTAATAGGCCCTATTACTTCTCTCTCCACACATGCCTGCTGAGCATCTGATCCACTACCCTGATTCGGATCACTCTCTATAGGCCAATGGCTCACACCTTAATTCCCTGAGGTGTCTGGCTGACAGTGCCACAGGCATCTCAAACACACATGCAAAACTGAACTCTCTTCTTCTCAAGCCTGTACTTCCCCACTGTTTTCCATCAGTGGTGCCTACTATCCATTCTAGCTCATATTGGAAGACATATTTTTCCTCTCATCTTTTAGATCCAATCAACTGAGTTCTGTCAATCCCACCTCCAAATCCACCCTGTTCTCTCCATCATCACTGCCATTCGCTGATAGCCCCAGTATCCTTCACAAGACCTAAACTATTGCAATAGCCACCCAGAGCTACTCTGAACCCCATGAGAGAAGGTTTTTAATGCTTCTCAGTATTTAATATGGCCTCAGAGGGCTAGAATCATCAGGTCTTGGTCTTGGCCAGCTTCACTGTGTTTAGACACCTCAAGGACCTCCACGAGGTTCCTTCTGTCCTAAACACTTCAGAGCCAGCCTGTGCCACTCATCAATAAACTAAGCACATTCTTGACATCTCAACCTAAATGTTACTCCCTCAAACAAGAATCCCCAATCCCTTGGCTCAGGTACTTCTATCTCAGGCATTCCCACTGACACATTCACTGATACTCCCCTTTTATTAGCTTTATTACTCTTGCAACTATTTGTTGCATGCTATCTGCTGCCCTCACTAAACTGTAAACTCACTGAGTGCTATGAGAACATCTGTCAGGTTAATTGCTCTTACTCTATTATGATATCCAATAGAGAGTATACCCTTAATATGAGTTTGTTAAATAAATAACAAAACATAGCAAAACAGGGAAGAGTGAAAATCTTGAAAGTTAACAAAGGATTAATAAAATGCAAAGACCATTTTCACATACTGGGACTTTCTAAGGAAAGTATGCTGCAGGCTTTAGTGAGTTGACAAAGTTATTTTTGCCATGATTTACTTGAGAAATCTTATTTCTTTGTAAAGAACAAAAATATTCATGGCCAGGTACACTCGTAAGTTATTTATATGATATCACAGTTTCTGTTCTATTCTCCCAATTTTGAAAAAAAAAAAGTAGGAAACAATGAAAGTCATGTCAAGTTACATCATTTGTTTGACTCAATGTCCCTCAGAGGGTCAAACTAGTTGATCTGGTAAAAACATAAAGATGCCAACCTATCCATTCATTAATTTGTAGTTTCATTATATACCTATGTTTAAAGCCCAGTAGAAAACATACCAGATAAGACAACTTTTAACCTTTCTTTCCTTTTTTAAATAGTACTTTACTGTAAGACAATTTTTAACCTTTCTTTCCTTTTTAAATAGTACTTTACTGTCAGAGAACAGAATTGATATCTCTAAAAATTAACAAGTTAACTCTCATTCAAAAAGCAGCCCGAGTTTTCTTAAGAATCTACAAAGCCTGACACTTGTAAAGGCACTACACAAAACAGAGTAATTGTACCTGTATCATTTTCCTTCAAATCTTTCAATGAAAGAAGTTAAGGAGAAGGTAGGAAAGTTGTAGAGTATCCATCAAGACACTGAGTCATTAAACTTGATATCAAGAATAAAAATTAGAAGAACACAGACATGTATTGAAAGCCTAATGCATTCCAGGTACCATGCCAAAAATTTCATATACTTCACCTCCCTTCTTTAACACAAATTTATTAGGTAATTCATTATTTCACTTAATAAAGAAACTCAGATTCAAAAGATTAAGCGGTATTCCTAAAATCATCCAACCCAAAGGTTATCAAACTTTTTCTGTAAATGACTAGATATTTACTAGTTTAGACTTTGCACAACTATAGAGTAGTTGTAACCATTCAACTCTGCCACTGGAGGAAAATATTTAAACTACTGGTTGTGTCTATATGCCAACAACATTGTTAATTACAAAAATAGGCAGTGGGTTAGATCAGGACCATGGGTTAATGCTTTCCAAGACATGATCCAATCAGCAAGGAGAACAATTGAGATTCAAACTCATGTCTGCCTAATCCAAATGTCCATGCACCTTTTCTCTAGCATCTTCTGCCCCAAAGTATAAGGCAAGGCATAAGGTATCAAAGCAGAGTGCAAAAATAAACAAAAAACAATGCCTGCCCTGTGAAGCTCACAACTGACAAGAAGAAAGTTCTTGTATGTACTTAAACAAAACATGAAGATGATACTGGCAGAGGCATTACCAAGTCTCCATGTACTCATTTCCATAAATAATCAAGAACTTCTTTTCAAAAGAATCCCTGCAAAAGAACCCATATCGTAAAAAATTGTGTTCCCGGCAGCATATAACAATTTGTGTTCCTATTTGTTTCATTAATCTAGCTAATAAAACATCTCATTGGTATAACATCATTAAATTTTCCCTACTTTATCCTTCCAAGTAATGATACCATTTGAAACAAACCAACATTTTAGTTATGCTGTGCAATATAACCTCAGGCTAAATGAATCAAATTTAACTGAGAAGAAGAACAGTGAAACTGGACAGCCATACCATATCACAGTGTTTAATACAGAGCAGATAGCCAGGTTTAAATCAAAGTTCTGCCATTTATTACTCTTATGATTGTGATCAGTTACTCAACCTCTGTGCTTCAGATACTTTACCTATAGGGGAAAAAAATAGTACTTCTCTAAATTAGTTAATATATGGAAAACACTGCCTAAGCACGCACTAAATACAAAAGGTACAACAGTTAAACATGCACAAGATTAACTGGTTCTAGATAACGTAAGTATAACATTGTCAGTGCATAACCTCAGTGTAGCTGTTTAGTGGGAAACAAAAAATATGGATCTGTGATGAATAATCCTCTTGAGGTACAAAAAGCAAGAAACAGAACTGGAGAGAGAAGAAAATTC